AAATTTTGGCAAATATTTGACAAGGTTTTTTACCAGTCGTAAATAGTGCGTGTGTGTGGGTAGGCAGCTGCAGCAACACACCGACAGCAACAACAGCAGCGGCACTCGCATCAATTTTTTGTAACATGTTGCCAAACATGGCTAAAGCGACGGCCATGACGCCCACTTCACATAGCTGCGGTGGCCACTTAAATGTCGTTATGTTGTCGGGTCACGCACGGCTCGACGCAATGTTCCATGTCCGAGCAGGGGCAGCAGCAACAGCAACTTTATTGCCGCACCAATTATGCGTAGCTAATAAAAAAAATTCTGTGCTTGTGTGTGTGTGTGTGTGTGTGTGTGCATGAGCAGAAAAACATCGATATCGACATCGACAGCTTAGCGATTTATGAATGTTAAAATAATTAATGCGTTCATTTATTTCAAAGCGTGTTACGGCATTCAAATGAATTCCCGAAATTAACCCATTGAGGACAAGAGCAAAAAGTGGAAAGAACTAAGCTGAAAGAACTAGGCTGAAATTAATCCAGTTCAATTATTTATTTTAAGTAGAGAAGGTGCGATGTAAGGGGTTTTTGGTTACTTTACTTTGCTTCTCTTCACTTTATTTATAAACAAATATTCAGCTCTGACTAGTTTCCATATAATATATATGAAATATATGAAATTATTGTTATATTATATTTATTGTTATATTTTTATTGAATTTGGATTTAAATAAATCTTGTTGTTTGCTATCGAATACTTCATATTTTGCAGTTCTTCTGTCTAAGTTCGCTGGGCAGCTTTATATGTAAGATTGTCTGCCTGTCTCCCTGACTTTTTGTCAGTTTTTTTATCTGTCCGGCTATTGAAGCAAGCTACTTGAAATATGAAACATAAGTGTGAATATGTATGTTAAGCAAATATACCATGTATCCTAAGCGAAATAGGTTATTTTGATTGCAAGTAAAACAGAGAAGAAGTTTTTCAAGCATACATTAAATACTTACCCATTTATCTTAGCTGTGCTGCTTGCGATCAGGCATACTGAACTGATATAAGATATATGTAGTATATCAGGTTATAAGAATCTATCAAGCAAAGGTTAAAGATATCGAAAACTATTGTTAGCAAGGGGTTAAGCTGCGAGTGAGCGTGTGTGTGTGAGCTCTAACGGTCTGTCGAATCGCAAATGTATTTTTCAGCATAGCGACACCAACAACGGGCAACAAAAACAACAACAGCCGAGCAAACAGCGCAATGTTGACAACAACAGCGAAGCATAATAGAAGAAGGAAAGAAAAAAGAAGAGAGAAACCAAATATGTTAAGCGCCATTTAAGCGGCAGCGTCCTGATGCCTGCTGCCTGCTGCATGAGATAATACCCAGCTCTGAGCTGATGTGTGTTTGTATATTTTTCTAAAAATTTGCACGCATTTCATTGTTGTTGTTTGTTTGTTTGTTTGTCGCACATGTGTGCGGTTCCCAGCAGCAGCGCCCCAAAAAGTATGCAAAGCAAAAAAGCGGCGGACGCCACAAACACACACTTACACATTCTTATGCAGACTGGCGTGTGTGTGTGCAGGAGTGTGAGAAATGTGGGAAATGTAAACGGAATTGTTTTGCTTGCTCAGCGCGTGTATGTGAGTGTGTGTGTGCATGTGGGTGTGGTGAAGGGATAATGACAAGCTAGCAGCCCACAAGCTCTCACACACATGTGCGTTGTGCATTGGCAGGCACAAGGTGATGACGTCGACGCTAACGCTGACGCTGACGCTGACGTTGACGCTGGCGTCGACTGCGCTGCGTTGCGTGTCTTATCTACAATGCGGGAAAACACGCACGGAACTCAAGCAGGCGGGTTGACAAGAGCAACAGCAACAACAACAAATGTAAAGCTGATTCCTGATGGTCCTTTTGCACCCAAAGCAGGATGCGAGTGTGGGCGTCTGTTTAGCTGAAGCAATCACAAAGGATTTGCATTGTGGTCGAAAAGTGTTGGCCCATTGGCTTCGTCCTCGCCGCCTGTCTGTTTGCCATCGCAAATTAACTGAATGCCGAAAGTGTGCATTGTAAATGTACCCAATAAGACAGATAATGCATGACTCCACCACCATCAACACACACACAGATACACACGCACCCTCACACACATAATTATCCCCCTCCGTCTGCTGTGTCTTAGGGCTTAATCTTGTTCTTCGACTGAATGGATGAGGGAGTCAAATGAGCCAACTGGGCATTTGTGTAGGCAGCAATCAGTGAAAATAATCTCTCCAATTCAAAGATTACATGTCTTTTGGAACAATACAATTTTGAATGCAAATGGACATCTTGAAAGGGCTGAAAATGAACTGGCCTTAACAGCAGCTGAGCAACCTTGGCCTAGACTGGTTTTCTGGCATAGAAAATGAAAACATTGGTTCTTCTGCATTAATATATTATATCTATAACTAATACCGCTGTGCTCACACTCTGCAATCTATGTTCCTCAACTTGTTGATCCTTGACTACAATGGGCTACGTTTCATATATAGAAAGAAAATATACAAAACATGGCTGTGATTTACTCGAACAGTCCATAGCGCATTAAATAATATTAAGCGATTAAGCGATGGTTCAAGATATATGTATATATTTATGTTGCCTATTGGAAGGACCCTCGTCAGAATAGCTATGCAAAATTTAACAGTCCAAAAAAATGACTTGTAGTTATGATTTTGATAAAATTGTATATCTAACTACCGAACACATTAACTATGCATAAATTTTGTCAATTTTTTTTATGATGACATATTTATTTTATTTATTTAAATAACTACAAAGTCTACGGATTTCGGCACGGAAAAAGTATGCGAACAAATTTCAGCTTCGGGTGGAGCTTAAGTTACTGTTAAATCAGACATAGCTGTAATAAAAGCAATTTGTTCAATATATTGAAAGAATTCGCAATGGGCAGTAAAGAAGAAGAGATTAATTCCAATTTGAAAAATCCAGTCACAAAACTGTGAAATGGATGAGGGGACACATCTACAAGAAATCGATCATATAGTGGGCAGAACGCACTCTTCTGAGGAGAGATGCCTTGATTTGACTTGCTCTGTCTAGTCTAAGCCATGTGCTGGAAGGCCTCCAAAGCAAGTTGATCGCGGAAAGAGAGACGCTTTGAAGACAGTGAGACACAACCCCAGAATATCAGCTACAAAGGTTGGTCAATGTATTAGGCAAAAGTCTACCAAGGAGCTTCATGTTGACACGATAGGGAATATCTTCAAAGAGCATTTACTACATTCGCCTGCTGCGCGGAAGAAGCTGCTTTTATCAGATGCCAACAAGGTGAACCGAATGTATATAGATTGCAAGTGGCGCATTGCACTTGCCCTTCAAAAGTTTTACCCGAGTCTTGAGCTGACCAAATCAGTATATGTATTTACTAAATTAATATTTAGTTCCCTATTTTTTACAAACTCATATTTCCTTGGTTTATTCGATGTTTTGTATAATGATTGATAAAATGTTGTACTTTATATAAGCGAAGTCAAAATAATTTTTACCCAATTTGTGAAATTTGTAACACTTTCGTCAACCACGACAATTAACTTTTTTAAGATCAAGTTAAAATTCATGAACAGAAATCAAAAACCAGATCAAATACATATTAAATAAGTTCATCACAGCTCTTAGATATATGATCAAATTTATAATTACCGCGCAGAGCTTTGCTTAGTTTAGCCGTCAAATCTTTGTATGTTTGGTCAGTGGCCCTATTTACATTGGCGGCAACGACTTTTAGTTCTTAATTATACGAATATTTTTTTAAGTAACTGTTGATTAACGGTGCCAAATGAGTAATTTCGTAAAAATAATCGGCAAATGTTGTCGATGAGTTGACCATCGATATAGCTATCGATTACATATCGCATATTTAATTCGTGAAAGAGACTGCGGCTGTTTTAAATTTTGATTTGATTTAAATATTAACGACATGAAAAAATGAGCAAATAACAATAAAATTACAATAAATACAATAACAATAAAAAAGTTTGTGAAATATATATATATTATTATATGAATAGATATTAGATACACATGGATACCTATAAATATATCTCAAATTTATATAAGATATTATACAATATGGTGAGACTAAGCCAATATTACAATCAATAAGAATGAATCACATAATGAAATAAGTCCCCAAAAATATTTCTGCATGAAGTTTTTGAATTCGGTTTGAGTTGGCGGCTTTTCGCTCAACCGTTCTACTCACTTTGGCACTGTAAGCTCTAACCGCCCTATTTGCCTATTATTTAAAAAAATTGACAAAACTTGTTAAACTTCTTAAAATACAGTTTGCAGTGGATTTTCTTTAAGCAACGGTATTAAACTATCAAAATTTCCTTATCATTGTTGCATGACAGAGAGTAGTTAGCTTAAATTCAACGGCTACTGTTAAAATGGGTTTATTATGTATACTGTATTCCTTTTAACCAATGTTAACCAATGTTCTACTCATTTTGGCACTGTAAGTTAAGAGTGAATTATTTGGCTAATATTTAAATAGATAAACAATTTAATTAACTGGTTGAACTTACTTATATTAGACTTATCTTTATGCGAGGGGATTAAAATAAACAATCACCCCACGTATTACAGATAAATGTTGGCATAGCAGAATGCTGTAAACTTCAAAGTCAACAGCTACTGTTAAAAAGGTGTTACTATGCTGCAATGTTAAAAGACTCAGTATTTCTCTAAAGTATTATGCTACTTAACAGTAACCCAAATGTATTCAAACTGTCGTTTTACAGCACTGAATTGATTCAAAATATGCGTTAGGCTTTAAGAGCAATTAACTTCTTATTGAAACAACTAATTTTATATATTATAATTTAAAGTAATACAACACGATATGTATTTATCTCATTAAAATAATTGCACTTTATTGACTTATTAGAAACTAATGGGAAATATGTCTAAGACACTACTCAGTAATTTGTTTAACGGCTGATATTTTCTCCTTTATAACAGACGAAAGACGTAACCAAATCAATTAGGCGGGTCACTTTCACAACTGCCACGCCCACTACAAAAGACGACGGCGGCGGCGATGAGGACGATAATGCGACTAATTTAATGACTATTGTTCATTGACTCATTTAAAATGTTATAGAAAAGGCTGAAGTGGGGCTGTGGCAGGTGTTGCTTATGAGTCTATGTGTGTGGGTTACATGTAGAATTTGCTGCTAACTTAGTTTAAGTACTAATTATCACATAGTAAGCTTATTGTGTAGGCGTTGAAATTTACATTGATTTGATGTGCTATGACTTTGCGGTTGACTCGTCCTTGACCTGAGTGAGTGGGTCAGCCATAGCCGAGCAGGTACTTGGGCAGGTAGGTGATTGACGTAATCAGGCTGTAACTGTGGGTAAGAAAGCAAGAGCACAAACCAAACCAAGTTTGCGTAATATTGAAATCTTATCAAAATTTATTGTCAAAACTGATTTTACAGTATATCACCAACAACCAGTTTAGTCAGTGCTTAAATATTATTATTATGTATAGCTATACAATGTTAGATATTTACAAAGCTTGCACTCTCTGCATGACCTCAACCAAATACACCAAACACCACATCAGAGACACCAAATTCATTGAATTCTGTGTTGTTCTGCTCCTCGGTCTGCTGCTCCCCAGTGCTGCCATTGAAATATTCCATGTCAAAATAAAAGAATGGGAGTATAATACAAGTATATACAGCGATGTATATAGAACAATAACAATGCCACAACAAAAATGAACACAAAATATCAGCGAATGAATCGCCGAATGATCGTCAACGGATCACAGCATGAGCCCAACACAAAACACAAGAATCAGTTAGGAAACTACATTAACGATACATACGAATTGGTGAGTCCTCGATAGAACCAGGACTTCCACGATTTGGAGGAGCCCTCATCTATTTTCGACTCGACATCTGCACAGAAATGCCGACGATCGTGTGAGCGTCCGCTTTTGCAGTCGCACAACATTCGTTTCTTGCACTCAGCATCGCACGTTGGCCGCGCCGGTGAGTTCTTCCAGTAATTCCTGAAGGAAACGTTTATATTTGCGAGCCCTGTTCTCCAATAGAAGCTCAATACTTACTTATAGTACATTTCGAATAGCTCCTGATTGTCGGTCAGATCGTTGAGCAGCTTGTCCCAGTCATTGGGTCGCAGCGCCTGCATATTGTATGCGGCTCTGGCTGTATATAGCTTATACCAGATCGGATAGCCATACAGATTGGCCTCCTTCAAATTCATTATCCACGATTCATGATCGATGACGAGGCGAGTCGTTGTGTCGTGATCTCCATCCACCTGCAAATTACATTTTAGAACACTTTTAATACACTTATTACTCAATATTTCTTTAGTGGATTTGTGCCTTGACTTTCAGAGATCTGTTCAAAGCTAAGAAGCTTACGAAGATCTTAGTCTGCATGTTGGAAAAATGTACCAAAGTAGTCTATTCCATATCCACTAAGCAGTTGGATTTATACAATCATATTCCAAGAGCTCTTGGCATATTATAATATTAGTTCTATTACCGAATATATTTAAAGTAATATAAATACAGGAATGACTGTGCTTCTAAAGTCTTAAAATTATAAATGCTTTTAATGCTTTTATTCGTATACAAAATATACTTACATAGTAAATGCGATATCCTGGATTCAGATCATAGTAGGGCGATACGGAGGGACCTATGTAGGCAATGCTATTAGGATGCGCTAGTGGAAAACCAGAAAACAATTTTGAATATTAATTAAAAATTAAATATTATTAAATATTATATACAATTAAAAACAGTTTGTTTAAAAATGTCAATAGAACTTTAAAATAATATAGAAAAATGAAAAGGTATTGAATGCTGATTAAACAGTGACAGAAGATCAAAATGTGTTGCGAGAGGTCATTCAATATGCGATTCAATGCAATCACAAAATGTTCCGTAGACGTTAAGTCAACTTGTGAGTGAGACATACACAGATGTTATATATATTATTGATACTACTAAAAAGGTCTATCAACGTACTCAAATCATGTGGATCGTAGAACATTTCGAACTCATCAAAGTGGGTGTGGCCATAGAACTGGGCGGTAATGGTGCTCTCATAGCGTGAGATGATTTTATAGAAATTGCGCGACCAGACTTTCAAGCAATCCGAATGGCCTGGTGGAATGTGTCCTATGACATGAACCTTCTCATTGGAGAACTCTGCGCTCTGCAGCTCATAGATGAACCTGGGAAAGATAGTGAACTCTATCAAATCAAATCAATTTTTCAAATGGTAATCTCTGACTCTAACTTACCATTGCAACTCCGTAGCGGGATCAGTGGAGTTCAGGAGCAGCCACCAGTTCTTGTTGTTGCAGTAGTTCATGTTGAGCGAAATAATGCGGAAGCCGGGACGAACTAGAACCGAGTAGAAGGCGCCGCGACGGACCGTGTGAGAAACGCTCTGCGGCAGCCAGCGACGCCATTGGACGTCGAGCTCGTCGTAGAGCCAGTTGATGGAGATGTCCACCTGGTTGACATACGGAGGTGGAAAGCTGTTCACAGGTGCGCTTTCGTGGTTGCCCAAGGCCGGAAAGATCGGCACTCCGGGGAATTTCTCAGTCATCTGCTTGACCGTCTCCTTGATAATCTCGAGATTCTCCTGCTTTGTCTGATTCCACACATCGTGCGGTGGCAAGTCGCCCGTCCAGAGTATATAGTCAATGTCCTTGTGTGTGTCGGCTATGTGAGCCAGCATATTATCCACTGTCCGCTTTGGCGTATCGCATTTCCGATAGTCGCCCCACTTGCCGGCCGCCGCGTTGGGATTGGCAGGTCGACCGCTGCTCAGGCGGCAGCAAAGCGGCTCATTGCAATCCGCATTGGCCCCCTCGACGTAATGTGGATCGTAGTGGGTGTCGGAGATGTGGAGCACTTTGAAGAACGGTGCCGCCTCCAGCGGGATGGGCAGCTCAGCAAGACGCGGCGGCTTGGGCACCGGCGGAAATATGACCTCCCACTCGTGATACGGATTGTAGACGTCGCCGCAGCCATCGCCTATGATAAAACTACAGAGTTCATCGGGGCCGAGATTGACGCGTTGCAGCACGTAGATGACCTCGCTGCCAAAGAGCTGGGCCACTCCCTCACAGACACGCGGACTCTGGATGTTCAGATTCGTGCAGTACTGCGCAATCATTTTCATGAGCTCCGCATCTGTCTTGCCGGACTTGATGTAGTGCTGGAGTAGACCAGCTCCCGCCTTGCACGCCGTGCAGGACACCTTGGACAGGACACTGTTCTCGATCTCAAAGGCCACCTGCTTCAGATTGAACAGCTTGAGCGCCTTGTCCACAAAGGGGGGGTAGGTGAGTCCGTCTCCAGCTGCCGCATCGTACCACAACATCCGTGCCGAGCTACGATTCTGGCGTAGAGCACGCAAACGCTCAAGAAACTCCGCATCGCTGTCGGCGGGCTCGCTGTTGGTGCGATTCGCGTGATATTTGAACTGCACGTGCGGCACTACGCTTCGTGGCTGCGCCTCAATCTTCCATTCGTCAAGCTGCGGTTGCGTCCAATTTATGGCTGCCCGCGTATTTGTGTAAAGAAAAGGCAGCGCTGTCCCAAGGCGCATAAAAGTTAAAACGGTTTCTGATTTTGGATGCACTTGCTCCACTTACCATCGCCCGCAGCAAGCCCAGCCACGACAAGTGCCGCCATGAGCCAGCAAATATGGCGGCTCTGTCTGTGCCACATCTGCTGTGGCATTGTCTGTGTCATAATTGTGGCACTGCCACCACTTGCACCGCCAGAGGGTCGTGGCGTATCCACTTGACCTACAAGAGTCCAATCAAAGAGGAAATATGAACAGTCATTATTATGTTCAGCTTGCTCAATGTTTCAAGCACATATAAATATGCGTACAACATAAATACAAATTAACGCTCAGTCATCGATATACACATAATGACAATTCACGTTTTCCAGATTCTGAAACAGCATTTGGGACAAATTTTTGGTCACAGCATAAATTCTTTTTGTTTGCAATTTACTATTGATTTTGAAATAAGGTTCATCATGGCACCAAAGACTTGAATTGGCAAACTGAAAAACGAGTTTTATGAACGGAGACAGGTTTCAAAAGGGCTTCTTATGGGTATCAGGGAATACAAAATTGGTGAAAGTCAGTGCAAAATATGTATAAAAGGATATATAAAACTTATTTACGAAATGATTGCCAAAGTCAGGTATGAATAATAATAGCATCTGCCAACATAAGCAACGCAAATAATCGCCCAGAAAGCACACGGAATAGGTACAAATGAAAGCTTCCAGAAATAACATTTTAAACAGTTTATTCATTCATTGTTTACGACAGATTAATATTAAGATCATACATCTAGCTATTAAGAGGAACAGCAACTTTTATTTTCGAATCTATTTAATATATGAATAAACAAATAAAAAAATATAGTTACAATAATATTAATGTTTTTATTTGTTCATGTCAACAGTTTCTAAAGAAAGCTGAACTAAAAAATAATCTAGTTAAATTACAAATTTGTAATCCCTACAGGTCAAAGATATGCAGATTGTGAGCATATTAGTTCAAAGCGGGATTGATACACTACTGACACTTCTACTCAATGGACCAACCACTCAGCTCTTATCAGACCTATCAAGGCATACTCCTATCATGCCTTATCAAGTATTTGTATATAGTAGATTTAGAATATTAATGCGCATTTCAATAACAAATTCATTTGCTGATAAGACTATAAGTATCTCATATGTGGAGCAGGAAAATCAAGTAAATGGTCAACAAATTTAACAAAAATTAGTAAAAACATTTCTAATTCAAATGACTTAGATTAAAAACAAGCAACATGCTTTTGTCTGAGTTGAGCATTAGAGGGACAAGTTTTAGTCGCTGTTCGACATTTTCTGACATCAACGGGCCAAAGCCAATAGCCAAAAACAATAAAAAATTAAGGCAACAGTCGCAGATAAACAAACAAATAACTCACGTTAGCTAAACACAAAAGTGCAGCAGTTGCAGTTGCAGTTGCAGTTACAGTTGCAGTTGTCTCGACTGGCCATTAACAGTTGACAGCATCAACAGACAGACTGTGTTGACTGCTGTATTGTGGGTGCTTAAACCGGGTTGACACTTTACAGTTAACGACTTTTTAAGTGCTGTCAAACACTGAATGCACGTACGATGTCCAAAAATTGACATATTGATTTTGCGTGAAGCCCCGCGAGAAGTGTTGAGATAGCAGACGAGTCAATCTGTCTATACATTAATATTTGACCAGCAAAATTGTAGTATGATTAATCTATACAAGGAGCAGCGCTATATATAGGTATTATGTGAAAATGAGAACCTGATATTTTGTTTACAGTTCTCTAGTCGATAAACAAATGTGCATTCGAACACAAGGTATTTAAGAACTACAATGTGTGACAATTGGTGCCATGTTTACATTAGTGAAAACTCTACAATATTAGTGATTAATCGAATATTTCATAAATTATATTGGAATTTGGAATTTATAAAATGGTTTCTGAACATAGTATGAAATTGTGATCTTTTGAATAACTCGGCTACAGTAGGTAGTCCGTATTTTAATTTCATTTAATCAATCTATTTAGCTTGATCCGACACATACAAATCTAATATGTACTGCGATTGCAACTTAAAGAAACTCAAACCAACTGAAAATATTATTTTACTTTAACAATAAAGCTGAAGTATGAATGTTTTTCACGTCAATAAATAACTTATTTAAGTAATTGTCAGAAAAAAATATTTAATACTATAAAGTTTTCCTCATCTGGCGGCGTTATAATTATTATTTTAATTATCTCTATTGCAATTATGAAATGATGGAATCTAATAGAAATTAAACGGTACAACTATTTTATTCAGATACTAAATTCATATATTTGTTAAGGCTAAAGATATTCAAATAGATTTATTAATTTCAAATAATGAATAATCCTACAAAACTATTTTTTCATGGTCCAAAAACAGTATAAATTGCTTTAATGTAGATAATTTGCCACTTTCACTGGACGAACCTTATAATTAGAGGACGTGATCCACTTGAACTTAACAACATCAGCTGAAAAACTCTGGAATAAATTTTTTTGATTTACTAAGCCCCCTGTAGAAATTTTGATCAATCTGATCAAATCTAGGGCGGGACTTTCTGATATTACAGATCTGACTCCAAATCATGAGATGAAATAATTTTGCCCGATTTATCACTTATAGCAAATGGACAAAGGATTTTTAATTTGACTAATAAAAAATATAATGATTCCTATTTTATTTTCTAGTGTTTTCAAGATATATATATATTATATTTATATATTATATATATACACAAACATCGGTTAACCTTAAGACCATTTTTGTGTGCCCATTATGCATAAATTCAATGTAGTCACCGACTAACTGGGGGCACTGAGGGGATGAGGTTGAGGGGTCACCAACGGGTGTCGACTGGTTGGCGCGCTTCTCAATGCCGCACAGCATTTGCGCAGCTCGCATGGTAATTGCCAATTGGTCGCTCGTTGTTGTTGCGTTATGCCTAACGGACGACCATGCCAATGAGGGAGAGAGAGAGAGAGATGTAGGGGGACGCGTGTCAAAGAGGGGATGCACGGGTGAAAGAGGTGCGCCGGTACATTGGCCCCTTCGAACACGCAGACTCACAGACTCAGAGACTCTCAGACACGCAGACTCGCAGTGAAATCGTCAACGAGATGGCGTGTAATAAGAAATAAGTAAGTTGGGTTTGCCAGCAAAGAAAAGAAGAAAATTCCAAGATGAACAGCAATAAAATGCAAAAAAAATATAAATGAAGCGCATCTTTTATTGTTGTAAATTGTAAAGAGATGTTTCTGTTTTTTTTTTTGTGATTGTGATTTTGATTTGTGCGAAAATCGAAAGTGTCTACGGCGAAAACAAAGCCAAGTTCACTGTGGCCAAGAAAAATTTTCCACAAACAAAAATCAATAGAAAAACCAGTTTGAATATTTATTTTTTCTTTTTGAGTAAGGTTAGGGCATTTAGTTCAAAGAGCTTCTTTAGCTGGCTGAACAATATACACACCCTGAAGTCTAAAAAAAAAAACATATTTAAAAGTTGGTTCCATTCCTCTCTAACTATTGCTCCCTAACTGTCTCTATCCCTCTCTTTCTCTTCACATTTTCATTATTAATTCCAGGCACGTGACTTTGGGACCCACGCAATTACTCAAAAAATCCCAATGAACACATAAAGACCCTCTAAAGTTCGTAACGCAATCAAAAAGCTTGTGCGCGCCTCAAAAAAAAATCAAATAACAAAAACTTTCACTTTCTTTAGAAATTATTTTTTTTTATTTTATAAAATATGTTTTGGAGAAATGTGCTAAATACCAAACACAACCCAGTTCCAGTCTCTCGATTATGCAGCCGTCGTATCTTTATTATTTTTTTGTTGCTATTAAATAACGGTGCAGTCGTCACGCAGCTTGTCTAAACATTTTCTTGTTTATAATTATGAAGAGCCAGCGAAAAGGAAAGTGATTTTCATGTCGTGGGAATGCTAAGCATAATGTGCCTTTTCCTGAAATACAACTATGCCTTCTGGCACTCAAACATAATTTCCCAATATTATGAAATTACAAATATGTATATAGTCATATAAATATAAATATATATATATGTATTTATATAAATAAATAGGTCTTTAAATAAAATTAAAATTTTTATAAAAAAGTATTCAAATTATTCTATTCGATATAATAACGACTCCATGTAAAATGGTGTTTTATGCATAATTACGTTTGTCAGTTTTTTCTTAGACTTTTTTCCAAGATTTGATTATAGAAATTGTAGCTCTCATAAAATTAACAAAAAAAAAAAAAAAACAATCAATACAGTTATAAAAGAAAAGTTTTTCATATGTATATATATATCTATAAAGATGATAAAATATATATATATATTCATATACATGATTATATGTAGCATATGATTAATTTTTCAAACATATTTAAGTGTAAGATTCCAACAACCTAATGCGTTAGTGATATTAAACGACTGGCAAATGTATTCTTTAATGAGGTTAAACGATTAAAGATAAAAGTTTCTTTTTAAGAAGAGTACTCAGACAGAATAACATTAGGCCCATGTCAAATTATAATTGATATTTCAGTCACGTATTGTGGACTCTACACTGAACACTGAACACTGAACACTCAAGACTCTACACTCTACACTCTACACTCTACACTCTACACTCTACACTCTACACTCTACACTCTACACTCTACACTCTACACTCTACACTCTACACTCTACACTCTACACTCTACACTCTACACTCTACACTCTACACTCTACACTCTACACTCTACACTCTACACTCTACACTCTACACTCTACACTCTACACTCTACACTCTACACTCTACACTCTACACTCTACACTCTACACTCTACACTCTACACTCTACACTCTACACTCTACACTCTACACTCTACACTCTACACTCTACACTCTACACTCTACACTCTACACTCTACACTCTACACTCTACACTCTACACTCTACACTCTACACTCTACACTCTACACTCTACACTCTACACTCTACACTCTACACTCGACACGCGACACGCGACACGCGACACGCGACACGCGACACGCGACACGCGACACGCGACACGCGACACGCGACACGCGACACGCGACACGCGACACGCGACACGCGACACGCGACACGCGACACGCGACACGCGACACGCGACACGCGACACGCGACACGCGACACGCGACACGCGACACGCGACACGCGACACGCGACACGCGACACGCGACACGCGACACGCTACACGCGACACGCGACACTCTACACGCTACACTCTACACTCGACACGCTACACTCGACACTCTACACTCTACACTCTACACTCTACACTCTACACTCTACACTCTACACTCTACACTCTACACTATACACTCTACACTCTACACTCTACACATATATACATATATATAAATAAGTAGACATATATATATACATATTAATTTTTTTATTTATATACTTGACTTCAGTTAGCATTAGCTAATTATGCATGCGACTACTGAACAAAAAGTAACACACGACTGGTGTAGAAAGAGAAACAGAAACGGAAAAATGAAAACAGAAAATAAATCGAGAGGCAGACAATAAGTGACCGAAATGCCAAAGGCGGCTAAAACAAATGAAAGCGGTGTGTAATCAGGCCCAAAGAAGTCTTGCGTATGGTTCGTATGCTGCATGACAAACGGCTATTGACTGACACACGAGTGCGAGCGAGAGGACACGAGGAAGCTTTAGAATGTCAAGCCAAAGAATACGGTTGCTTGACAACTAAAGAAGAAAAGTGAAACAGCTGCAGCAACAGCTTCGATCTTGACGCTGAATTCTCTGTTGCCGTCAACGTCGTCGTCGACGTCGGCATACCGTAATTCAGATTTTGCAAGGCAACGCCAACGCTGAAAAGCTTCGGCATGGCAGTTGCGCATGCGTGCGATGCGACAACAAGTATTGGCCAAGTGAAATGCGCGAACGTGTTTTGTGTTTTATTACTTTTTTTATTTTTTTGGATCATGTTTTGTTTTATGTTTGCCAGCACTGACGAAATGTGTATCAAACGCAACTGGTTTGCGCTTTGATTGGGGCTTATGCTTACAGAAGTGGTTTAGTTTAACTTAATTGGGGCTTTTACCTGACACAAATTGAATTCAATTAAATTTGATAATTTAATGCTGTGAGCTTTCGGTGTGTTTCGTTCTTGTTTCTCGGATTTTGTTTTGCTACTTTTCTTTCCTTGGTTAGCGCCCGCTTGGCTATTTATAAACTGGTGTGTGCCATAATTCACGAATCTGTTTTGTCGTTTGACCTCATTTATTTACATTTACATTTACATTTCGCTTTGTTTGATTTTGTATTATTAAATGCTTAACAATTTTCTCACTTATTTTCGTATACTTTTGGCGTGCGATGAAACAGCGAACGACGAACGCTGATTAAAGAAGACACGACCCGTTCGCTTTTGTTGCTGTTGTCGTTGATTTCACCCGATTGGCTGCCTTTTATCGGATAACGGTCTAAGCGCGCGATGTCTGCGACAGCCAAATATTGAAGCCAACTGCTCACCGCGAGGCACCACCAACAACTGAGCAACAAACCTGATGCAGCTTTTGAGTCTAGCTTGCGAGCGCCAGAAACAGCTGTTCCCAGATACAAAGAAACGAGAGATAAAGAGAAAGAAAGAGAGAGAGAGAGCTTTTGTTATGCTCATTGCATTTAATTCACAATAGGAGCGTGATAAATCGTTTGGCAGCTTCTGTTCGCTTCAGCAATTTTAGACATTAATTAGAGTGATGTTATCAAGAAACAAGTCCACCATTGTTCTGAAAACGAAATTAGTTTAAATAGTATTTTTGTGTGTACATGCAGGTACATATATTAATTAATTAGTTGTATTGTTCATTCAGCTTGGCAATGTCAAAAAAGCTTAGTTAAGCATTAGTACTAAAAAAGTTATTATATAATTTTACAATTTTATAAATTATTGAATTTTTTTATCTTGATGCTTGGTAACTCGCTTATTGTGATGCAAAAGCTACTTGCATACAGAATAAGCATTCTATTAATAAATTACAATTGTATACCTTTATATATATATGTAATTGTGGTCCATCATATTATATATCTACGCCTATTGGATAGCTCAAGTCGCCAAATATTTTCATTGGTATCACAGTTAAATCCTTCAAAGCCAGACCTTTAAATTATATTATGCCCGTAGAGCTACCGCAACATTCTTAATTGAGTGATTTTTTCACCTATTTTTCAATAGTTTTATAGAATTATTATTTTCTTAGTTATAGAACTATACAGTTCACAATAGCATCTCAGCGTATGATATGAGAGTTTTGAGTTGGGTATTGTGATTCGCTCAGCAGATATTACATATATCTAGATAGAATCCTTGATTAGAGAGTGCATATTATTGAAAGGCTTTATTTTAGATTCTTGTAGAACTGCCCTCATATTAAACAATCCGAAGCTTTTTCTTTTGCTTTATTCAAAATATATTGCATTACTCAAAATACAAAATCGCACTGAGGCATATCAGTGGACTGAGCGAACTTTGCTCCCCTAGAGCTGTCAGAACAGTTCATTGCCTGGTTTCACATATATTAATCAATAGCTCAATTACCATCAGACCATATTTGATTGATGACGCAGTTGCCTCAGCGGGAAGATTTTATTGACGCAGTCGTTTGCAGTGACCGCTCGTCGTTGAAGTCCTTGAACACGTCCTTCGACAGGCTGCTAGCAGTCGAGGGCAACTCTATAACAGCCACGGGCTTTCTAGCTTCGGCTGATTCCTGTTTCGCCTTCATCTGGCAGCGCCAGGTGACCTGCATGCCACAACAAAGAGTAGGCCTGGCATGCTTTGCTGATTCCTTAGGCATGGATGAGTCCGAGTCCAGCTTTGAAGCACGTCCGCAGCAGAGCAACCAGCAGAGCCCGAACTTGAGCGCCGACAGCACCCGCAGCGTTTGGGGCAGAAAGGTGTAAAAGAGCGGATTCAAAGCGCAGCTGGTCAGATTGAGCAGCCCGAAAAAGAAGTAGAATATCCAGGACACGGGCGAGGAAAACGTCCCATACACGCGCATCATCAAAAAGATCCAGGCGGGCAGGCGCAAGCAGATAAAGGCGCCCATCATTAGCAGCACGACCCTCACCATGCGACGATGCCGTGCTACACGTGCTACAGCAGCAGGACTCAGCTTTCTCTCTTGCTGCGGCTGCTGCGTCATCTGCGCAGCACTCGCATGAAAGATGGCCGCCACACTGAAGGCGCTAATTATGGCGTAGGTTGTCTCCCGATTGTCCAGCGGATGCTCAAAGCGTAGCTGCTGCTGCTGCCGCTGCCGCTGCTTTTGCATGCTGCGCAGCTGGTGACGCCGCTGCCACAGCTGCTGCGCAATCGTCACATGCAGAAAGATGAAGGCCACAATGCAGGGCACAAAGACGAGGCTGAGCGACACTCCATTGTAGACGCCGATTTGGGTCTGTGCGCGCGTATAAATAGAAATGCAAATTGTTTGCCCGATTAGATAGGAAACACTTGTCAACAGCATGTCGGGCTAGTACGCAGCTAAAGATAACTAAAACATGCAAATGGGCTGCGAGGTTCTAGAATTAATTACGCTTCGATAGCGCTCACTATCGAAATGGATCAAAGGGCAGGTCCAGCTCAATAATCTATAGCCACATCTATTTCAAACTGACCCTGTCTATGTTGTTATAGATATTGTGAATTACTGTCGAATAATGCGTCTTATTTTATCCAACTGTCTTCTAACTTCAGTTCACAGACATTTGTTATTCTCAATGTACTTGAGTCTGACCAAATTTGATTCGAAACACGTTTTTTCTTATTCCTTTAAAGTGAAAACTCTGCTGCAGAATATAAAATTTCCGTATGTATTTTAATTCTATATTTCGATATATTTCCCTATTTCTATATGAACGTTATTGTCGCAATTTGACGTTCTTCTGAGAGCATTTCAAATCGAAAATTGACAGCTTTTAAGTTATTCCCACAAATAATATGTTTACTTTAAGTTACTTTTGATCACTTTTAAATCGAGGAAAACACATAGCTTTCAATCTTTGCCTCCTTCAAATGCCTTTAGAATTGACTTTTACTTGTTAGTTGTTTATAAGAGAATTGATAGAGTTAGATCCTCAAAACTGAAAAGTGCCTGACTAGCAGAAGCCCGATATCTTCAAAGGACGAAATACTGGTAGAGTTATTAAGCAATAGAAATAGCAATAATAATAAATACATAACTAGTCTGATTCACTGTCAACCTGTATTTACATATACTATACCTGAAGTTCAATCGTTCCAATCATGACTGTGTATATGCACAGATTTACATTTGGAAATACTTTTCTCGCCTTGCAGACTAGCTCACATTGTTGCCGAACTAAGTACAGCTCACTCACCCTTTTGCCCACGCACATCATCACATATTCCAGTTCGCTAACTACCAGCTCATCTGTGTGCTGTATGTAGACATGGGTCGCCTTGTAGATAAAGAAAAGGGGCACTGCCACCACCATGCAGGCCAACCAGATGCAGCCGACGCAGAGGCAGCAGAACAACCAGTGCGGATTCCAAATGCCAACAGCAGCGCGTCTTATTGACATGTAGCGATCCAGCGAAATGGCGACCAGCATAAAGCTGCTGCACAACACTGTTGTAGTGTTGACAAACGGCACAACGTTGCACATAAAGGAGCCAAGAATCTGAAACACGCATGTGAGTGAAATTGTAAACAGGCTGCTCCTAAGAACTGAGGATCGCACCCAATATTCGAGATAGTCGGCAGTGAAGAACGCCATGTTGGAGGTGGTGAAGTTCACGCAGTAGATGAGATCGCTGCAGGTCAGCGAGATGAGGCAGGCGCGGAAGAAGGGTCTCAGTTTTCGACTTGTATTCACATACAGCGCACTTAAGTTGCCTACAAAGGTGCAGATGAAGAGCACCGAGACTAGAACCATGAATATCTTGCGGGGTGTGTCATGTATTTGGCACAGTTGGCTGGCTTTCACCAGCGGACGGTAGTCGTCCGTCGTGTCAATGATCAGCATTCGTGATGCCATTTAAACCCAGCCCGAAAGTATGCAACGCGCAACTCTCAGCTGTTCGAGGTGCGATAATCAGGGCGAATATTTTGAGACTGACGGTGAAATGTTTCGTGGCTTGTGGCACCTGCCACCTGCTACTATTCCATGCTGAACGTTGAAAGTTACACGTTAACCGTTTAGTAATGATTACCGCCAGCTATCGTAGCCTGTTATCAATCGCTTAGCAGCGCATTTGATTGCTATCGGCTGTCAGAAAGGTGCGCATCGCCGGAACCCACACGTGAGCGACTGACCACGGGGATAGTGCGCTAAATGTCAAATGAATTTATGTGTATAATATATAAATATATATGTAAACATTTATATAATACTCTATGCATCATTTGCTGGGTTCCCATCATAAATAATTGGGCAAGCAAACTGATATAAATCATATGGCGCCGCTCAAAAGCTTCTTAAATAAGAAATTCCATTTTTAGTTTGATTACTGCAGAGAAATAACACTCACACAGAATGGACTAGTCTAATCGAAAGTGTTTTTAAATCAAGAATTTTTACTATCAATAGTGAAGTTTACAAGAATTAACTTCGATCCTTGAATTGCCGCTAAAATTGAAAGAGTCATCAAACAATACAAACAATAAGAATGGAGTAGTTGAGCTAGATCGACTGCATGCCACTCGTTCACGTACCAAAAATAATTAAACCTACTTAAGAGGGTCTCCAGCAATCCTTAAACCTTAGAGGTTCATAGATATTTTTTCCTGTGCATTCCACATCTTCCAAGTAAACCTCTCTATATTACCGTGTAAACGCAGCAGTCGTAGACTACAAAAGCAAGAGACTTGAGATTTTAAAAATATATTCCTGCACGAGTTTCTGATTTCCTTTCGAAAACTGTTCTCATTTCCTCATCATCGACAAATATCGATAATATGACTGCGGTACAAAACGTAGATTGAATACCACAAAAGTGGCAGACGTCAGATTTAATAAATACACCCATAGCTGCTGCCTTAAAAAAGCGAATACACACATATGAATTTTATTAAGTATACGCAGAAGGCAGAGCGCATGCATAAATGTATAAATAAAACGTATAATGATTGGAAAGTCAACTCAGGCGGACTCCTAGTTGAGCAGTCTCGACCAGAGCACTCTACTTCTTTCCGAAAGATTTTCCCAAAATAATATTTTAAAATATTATCTTGCATAGTGCGATAAGCAACATAATTTTATTTAAATTATAACTGCAACGAGTCCAACAAATAATTGTGAAGAAACACAGCTCAAATGACTTAAGTAATAAATAAAAAATAATACCGAGGCATGAGAAGGGGCTAAATTCTAGCCCGACGGCTTCCTCCGAAGTGTTTCCCTGACATCCACATATATGTAAAATCGTAGATCAATCGCCTTAAAGGAGTTGCTGGCTAGCAGAAGGTTATACATGTAACGCCCTTTCGGTATGGGAATAGTCGTAAACATCTTGTCCGCCAGTACAAAGTCCTTTACAACAATATCGTGCTAAATGGGATGGAATGTACATCAATACACAATTTAATTAAGAGATCAGTCGAATTAACCGCTTACGAGGAAGGGACAGCTCTGATTCAAGTTGGAAAAGGGAAGAATAGCCTTATGAAATAAATAGTAAATCTGAAGCCGATTCGGGTTCTTTAAGAAGCCGCAAAAGTCGAAAGACACGTTATAGAAAAACGGTTTATAGCCGCCCATGTCTTTCCACACACCAAAGGTGACCATCCAGTTTGGGTCTGGTGGCTGGTGCACCTTCAACTGGATATTGGCACTTAAGATTCCACCGGACATGTCCTTTAGGGAGCACTCTTTAATGTCAATTCTGGTCCGGTTTAGAACTTTGCATTTCATGTTTAGAAGGCGCGTGTATCCATGAGATAGGACTAGTGAAGCGACGATCAAATAAAACGCTTTAAGCCACATGCTGGGCCTGTTGACAAAATCATACTGCTGCAAGCCATCAGAATAATGCTTTAGCTACATATTTATGAGTTAATTGTATAATTTGTCGGCAAAAATGTATAATTATTAAGTATTCTGAGTTAATCATGTGGAAAAATTGTGTCTAAATTGACTAAAAGCCATTAAGCGACTTAACCATCTAGAAAGATTAACGCCTAAATCCATTCGGATGGACCGATTGACAGACAGCCACGATTGAATTTAACTCGGAGACTCATTCTAGTCAGACGAAAATTTCTAGTCAAAAGCCTGACTTTCTTCTGCTCTATATCTTATAGCTGGTATTCAGCCTACCGAAGCTGCCACATATCGGCGAAATCAACGAAATTCGAGAAGAAAAAATTTGCTAACCTTCTGCTGTCTGTCTTTATACCCAATGCAGGAAATTCAAGGTGTTCCGACGGCTCTTCTTGATCAAGACTATGAGTATTTTGCAATCAATACCTCCTTCAGCCTGTTGCATACACACCATCAAGCAGAAGGAGGCGTAGCAGACGCCATACAGTATATATATTATTGGTGACGACGACGGTAGCTGAGTCGACCTATCCTTCCGTCCGCTTGTTCGTCTGTGCTCATGTAAGAACACGTCGATCTCAGAGCTTATAACAGCCAGAGTATTTTTTGTAGATGAAGATTGTTTCAAATGATCGATAAGTATTCCCATTTCAGAAAATCGGCTTAAAATGTTCACAAACTTTAGTTATTAAATTATCGTTTGCTTTTAGAACTAGTCTCCAAATTCATTATATAGTTTCAGGTACAGCTTATACAAGCTTATAAAAATTCTTTTAGTTTGAGTTCAGTGTCAAGCACATGTAATATGTAAAAGAGTTTGTATTTTTACTAAACAGACTAATCTTCAATAGAATCTAAAAATCTTGGGCTGAAAACTGCATTCAATTAAAATATTTGATTTAAACAAAAAGTTTGGCCCAGTTGCACAAGCACGTGGCGAACAGCGCCAAACATAAAGAAGAATTATCTGCCTAGACTTAAACATTATTATCGAGCCCAAAAAAAATTCTCGCTTTAGCTTCGGTGATTGTTCAATGCTCAAGTGTCAGTTGATGTTACAGGAATACTTGATTCCTAATGCATTGTGCATTAGGATCGATGCCTTTGAGAACCCTTTAAAACCTTTAAAACCCCTAAAATTATTTCTAGTTTTCGATTTGCTTATCTCATGAGATAAAAAGAAAAGCAAGCAAGAACGTTGCAGTCGGTAATTTAGCTTTTAAATTTGAGTTTCTAACTGTGATTATCGCTCCAAAAATGTCCCCAATGGACGATATATACATCATTTCATGTTGGTCTTGGATTTCTAATACAAGGTAATCTTCCAAGCACGCTAATAGCGTTTCTGACATACGCGAGCTAGAATAATTAAAAGATTTCTGATATTGACGAATTCAAGTTAATAGTTATTGATTATTGGAAACAAACTTGATTCACGCTAGTTATATACGAGCCCACAAAGCAAATTCAAGTCTCTAGCTTTTGTGGCTCAGACGGACAGACGAACCGACGGACTTGGCTAGATCGATTCAGCGCCTTGCCCTGAGAAGACACGGAACTGAAATGCATAGATCTATTATGCATAAAAGTTTACAAATTAAATTCTATCAAATTCCAATTTAGACTATACGTCTTTAAACATATATATTTTTAAGTATATATATCTTTAAATATATATATCTATATGTCTTTAAATAGTTTACATAAATGGAGTTTTAATAATATACATTTGTATTAATTCTTGGCTTGACACAAGGATTTGCTTCACTGGAGTCGTAAATCAGATTGATTAAACAAAAACAGCTCAACAGAGAAAGTTGGTTCGGATTAAGGATTATTGGAAATGCCGAAAGTTTCCGAAAGCCCTGAATATAACTGGTTATTGTAACCCCTAAATATATTATATATGCAACTATCTTTATCTAGATCAGTCAGAAAAATAAAAACATTTAATTTCAGGTTTTATTTTCACTGCTTTCTTTATTCATACAATTTCGGCAAATATTCTGAATACGCATTGGCTAATTGTATTACTACATAGCACAGTTTATTGTCCACATTGTTAAATTGTTGCTTTGTTTAGTTTATTCTTTTATAATTATTGTTTAAGCTTGTGCTTCGCTTAGGTCGCTTTAAAAAATATGCATATCTAGCGTACATTTATAGCTATGGTGTGTATATATAGAGTTCCTCATATATTTATGCTTAGCTAAATTATAATTAGTGTACATTAAAGACATTAAATGGTAAACTTAACAGCAAAAGCTTATGCACAAATCTAACCTAAATTAAAACATTGCAAGTTTTTTAAACAATGAACATACACAATCGTAAACAATACAAAAAAACAGTTAGGGGTTGGTTACTAAAGGAGAAATTAAAGAAAAAAGTTCGAATTTGTTCTCACAAACGCATCCACAGATACGCACACTCACACACGCACACACACTCGTGGTATGTTTGCCTAAATTATAGTCTTTTAAGCTTATCGCAAAAACCCGCATAGTTATAGTATAATATGGTATTGCATAGTTTAGTTTAGTTTAGTTTAGTTGATTAGGTAGCTTTACAACGACGGATAGTTTTTCATATTTGTTTTCTTCATAGCGGTAGGCCCGTTGCGCATGCGCACAGAAGGCCCTTAGTCAAGCACATATTCCACTAGTCATACTCTGGCTGCTCCTGGGAGTCGAGCTCCAAGCACTGGCTGCCCATGTGCACAGTTAGCGTCTGGTAGGGCAGCGGCTTGCCCATGCTTAGATTGGCGGTCACGTAGATCAAGTAGCTGTCGCCGGGCGTCAGACTGAGTATGGTCTCGGTCTCCAACTTGTCCTCATTGCTGTGATTGATAGCAAACTAGAAGTCGCTGCGCTTTTAATATTAATCAAGCCACTCACCTAGGTCGCTTCTCGCGGCAGCGTATGTACTTGAAGTTCTTATGCTGCGTTATCCGCAACGCTCCGAAGTCCATGCAATAGTTTGTGAAGTCCCCGCTGCGCTGCGGTAGGCTAAAGACAATCACGCAGTAGCTATCGCAAGATGAAAGAGATAGACACAATAATGCAATAAGACCATAATGTAATAGGAGACTAACATGTTATTACAACATAGTCAACATACTATACAGCAATCATTTAATATAATATACCTTCAGATACTACTACTATTTGTCAGTATTCAGGCAGAGTTTTCCTTTGGTAGTCGACATTTGACATTCATTGAAATAATTCTGAGCCCATTAAAATAGGGCTTTGTGATGTAACAGGCAGAAGAAGGCGTGCCAGACTCCAAATTATATATTCCTAATCAGGATGAGTTGTGCTCGCTATAGTCTGTTTGTCTCTCCGTCCGTATGAACGCAGAGCTGTCATAAAGCCAGAGACTTGAAATTTCAATTTTATACTCCTGAATATCATGCACAGAAGGAGCTTATCATTTTCAAAATTTTCAACAGCCTATCTAATTTTTGTAATATCAGGACTAGTTTGACTTAATTCAATAATATCAATAGCGCGATGAGGTCAAATCAAGTCAAATGTCATATTATTGGACTCTTTCCGCATACACTATTTGGACTTCCTTAAGAGATACTCACATTGTGGGACTTAGATTTCAAAACTATGCAAGACATACTTATTTCTATTTACTACACACCTGAAGGGTATCACAAAATTCAAATACTTTATGAACTGAGGCTACATTTGATATATATTGAGATTTAGAATATATCAAATGTACTCTTTTAAAATTGTTAATGAGTTTAAGAAGGTAATGACTAGTGAGAGATATAGAAATACAATAGAGAGTACGAATGACATAAGTGAAAGGGAGACTTTCTCAAGAGAAAGTTCTGAGAAGTTGACTTGGTTAAATTTAATGAAATTGAGGCAGAGAATAAAAAAGAGATATACAAAGAATAATGCGCTGATGAAACCCACAGCCTAAAGCGCATAAATCTAATCAATTCAAGAGTTAAATGCAACTGAGCTCCACCTGATGTGATCAAGAGAACTCGAATGGCAGAGACAGCTAACTGAGACTGCGATGTTAGCCCAGTCTATAATAAATAATAAGAACAATAAATTTGAGTAATCTAATCGCGAGGGAGACCTCAACCAATCACAGATATTCTATGCCAATCATTCCACCCTTTTCATACATTCATAACAAACAAAGATCATTGGAAATATCAATTCAGGGTAAAACTGTATGCAACTCGCAGAAGGAGCTGCTGCCGACTCCATAAGCTATATATATTTTATATAAATGATAACTATATAAAAAAAATATATATAAAATGAATTTCGCTGATTTCTACCGACTGCATAGTACTCATTAACGGTCTAAGCGCTGCAAGCCCCAAAAATTTAAAAGATTTGTCTATTCCGATGTGCCACGCCCTCATGAAGAATACAACGGTATTTTCTTTGTTAAATTTTGCGCTTCTAATAGTACAACTGCGACTTGCAACGTTCGAAGTCAACAGTAAAAAATCAGGAAATTACAGGGTATTATGACCTCAAATAGGCGTACATTGTTTGGTTTTCGATAGAGCGCATCGATAGAGTAGATTAACAGCAACTTAATAATCGCTGTCTTAAGTTTATAGCTGTACAACTTCAGACGATACTGACTTTTGCTAGTCGCCACGCCTCCCATGTGCGTAGATGTGTAGTTTATATCATTTATGACTTTAATTTAGAATATATATATATATATATATATATATATATATATATATATATATATATATATATATATATATATATATATATATATATATATATATATATATATATATATATATATATATATTTCAATTTCAATGCTCTAGCCAATAGCGATCAAAACATTAGAAATTAGTGCAAGACATTAGGAATTGGCGTAGACACATCATTCTGTCCATAATCTCAGCATCTTGGATTGTCAATATGTCCCATATTTCAAGGCTCTAGTAACTTAACTAATATTGTTTCTGATATAACCGATTTAGTAGTGCGCATGTTGGAAAATCTTAATATTTTATCGGACGAAGGTACCCAGGATATTCACATTTGTAGTCTAACTTCCTAGGCGGTCTGATGGAAAGACGGACGAACGGACAGACGGAACGAGGGTCGGACAACTGAACGGATATTGCACAAAACTCATGTACTCATTTTACTTCGTGAATGAGTTTACACTCATTCGTATTACGTATTTGGCATTAAACATGATTTGCCAATTGCAAACAGTTAAAAAGTTATTCTCAAGTGTTTCGGACGATTTGTCTTCGTACCTCAAGGCGCGCTCGTCTGGAGATTCGTGCCATGCAATTGTTGCGCTGGTGCAGCGCGTTCGAACATCGAAGACCGTTATGTTATCTGGCAGCTCCGGCAGATCACGGAAGAGGCGTTCACTGCTGAGGGCCAGCTGGAAGACAAAGAGCAGAAGAAGTCAACATTTTCCGTTACTTTCAGGCAAAGACAATAAACTTACGCGAACTTTTTGAGCCCGCAGCGCCTCGTCCTCGTTGCTGGGCTGGAAGCGCATCAGGTACCGCTCGCCGGGCAGCACGCCCTCCAGCTTGATGTAAGTGGGCGAGTAGATGTTTCCCACGTTGGCCACCTGTCGATGCTGGCGCAGCAGCTTCACACGTATCTCGCTGCCGGCGCACGGCAACAGCAGGTAGCGCATGAAGCTGGGCGGAGGCGTCGTCGCTGGCACCTTGAAGCTATACACCTGGACGCCATGCAGTCCGCCAATCTTGAGCAGCGCCAGTGCCTGCTGCCGCAGTGCCGTTGGATGGGTGCGATTGAAGTGCACCTGGCTGCTAGCCAGGCCCAGCGTCAGGTTCTGCAGCCGCTGGTGCACGCCGAACAGCTGCAGCCTATAGCTGCTGTTTGGCTGCAGCCCGCGCAGCTGCTGCTGCGTCCGGGCTCCAGTGCAGACGATGTGCAGCCTGTGCTGCGGATTCAGATGACGCGCTCGCTTCGGTGACCGTGACCAGACCAGATCCAATGCATTACTGGCGCCAGAGCAAGGCCCGGCAGAGGCACGCCAATGCTCCTGCTGCTGCCTCGTGTAGACGTAGACGGCCTCACAGAAGCTGCCGAAGTCCTGGCTCGACGTCTCGGCGCTCTCAACACGCTGAATCACCAGACAGTAGTGCATGGCATGGTAATCAAATTTGCTGTGCGGATTCGAAAACAAAGGAAACTTTTGACTTTGACTGCGCTTATGCAATTTAATGTTTTTCATTTAATAGTCACTAATATAGATGTTTATGGGATTACTAGGTACTCCCCTCCCTCTTCTTGACTGTGATTTCTTTATTTAGTGAACCATTGAGAGTTCCACTGGCGACCCACCTGCGCTCCCATTTGACGATCAGCTGACGCTTGCGCACACGATTCTGGGTGCGGATGGCGATGCGATGTGTGTGATTGAGCAGGGGCCACGACTGATGCGGATGCTTGGCTTGAGCCTCCAGCTTGAGGGCGCCTGCCTGACGGGCCTGTACGAAGAGATCGTATTGGCCGCGCAGGGCACAGGGCAGGACCAGTCGGCCCATGTTGGGGCCCTTGGCGGGCGCGGCGAGGCGCAGCACGTTTGCTGCCAATGCAAATGAGGAGATTGAGGTATGAAGATCTGGCAAATGGAAGATGGCAAGGTAGAAGCTTACCTGTCTGATTGTAGTACAGCTGACGTGCCACGGGCATTGAGAAGAGAATCGTCAGCGGCGTTGAGTTGTTTAGTTGCAGCACAAATCTGTAAAACAAAAGGCGAAACCAATGACTGAAGTGCTGCCCAGTGGTGTCGAGTGGTGCGCAGTGGGGCGGAGTAAGTGAGCTGTTGACGCCCTTTGTCAAAAATCATGACACTAAATTATCGCACGCAATTTGTCTCGCCTGTGTCCGAGCGAGTGACTCAGCGCCTTTGGCAGCTGGCGCTGCAACAAAGTTGCCGTCGAAGAATGGAACCCAGTGGACTAAGAGGACGTGCATACGCTCGATTGTGTATGTATAAATATATATAATACACACTAGATATACATATATATTCCATTTAGGCTAAAGCCCGTTTCTTGTGCCAAAAAGTTTTGTTTTGTAATTAAATGCGAAATTTATGAGCAATATATCTAATGACAAAAGACCAAGACAAATGTGCTACAGTGAAGAGCCACCCACACACACACACAAACACCCACACACATACACATTGAAATAGGAAGCGCCATTGCAGCCAAGTGACTCATTGACTTGGCTTATGTACGGTCATCTCAAGTTTTATGAGCAGCTACTTCCGGCTAACGCCATTTACCAATAAAACCACGCCCCTCGCCATGTCACTGCACGCCCACATATTTGACCAGGCAGCCCATCTATTTGATGGAGTGTTTTAATGCACTCCATTGTTGCCGGCCATTTGCAGATGGCGCCGCGGCGACTGCACAAATATTTGCTTTAATTTAAGCCTTGCATGTTGCAGTTGCAGTTGCCTTTGCCGTTGCCGTTGCCGTTGCCGTTGACGTTGACGTGTCTGTTGCTGTTGCAGGCTTTTCATGTTGTTGTTATTACAATTATTGCTGGTGTTATTGTTGCTGCCTGCCGATGACAGCAGTCAATTATATAACGCAAACATCATGTTGCGAAATATAAATCCTTTTCAGATGTGCTCGAATTTTGAATGCTCTCATCGCACTCAATATCTTAAAACTAAAAATTATATTAGAACACCTATATTATAATACGTCTCATGTTTATTAATCAGATGTGTATATTTATATATACTATATTTAATATATTCATATGCATCTTGTAAAGTAGAGAGTGATGATGTGTCTAGTTTTCACTCCTTTTATCATGCATTTATTAAGAAATCGCAAATGCAGTCAAGGCATTCAAATGCCCTGCCAGTGTAGAGTAGAGGAATGCCGAAACTGACGCTGGCCGTTAGCCCACAACAAACAAGCGAAGAATTGGCTCAGTCGCTTGTCCATCGTCCGGCCAGACGTACACAGAATGTGGCCAAATTTTGTGAGAGTGGCGCTACGGCTGCTGCTGCTGCAGCTGCCCATTGGTGGTCAAGGCATAGTCAATCCGTCGAATGAGTCAGCCAATATGGTTATTTATATGCTGCCCGCGAACGACGTCGGCCCGCGCACTTGGCAGGTGGGCGTCGATTGCCTGGACAGCTTCTCGCAAATCTTCTTCTACCGAAATCCGCTCGAGCGCTTCACGCGCTCCTACAATCTGATGCTGACAAATGTGTTCAACATGTCCCTGCCCGCAGACCTCATACAGCAGGGATTTAGTGAGCGCATCAACGAGGTCATCAGCGACCCAACGCCGCAACCCGAGAGGCAGTTCTTCCAGTTGCGCGTCATCTCAGATCACTTTGACCGCACAAAGTTCTTCGGAGAGCTGCTGCTGGCGGACAACTATGTGATTGTCGTGGACAGCGTGGAGCGTTTGCACAAGCTGATGAGCCACCATGTGAGCAAGAGTCGCTCGTGGAATCCTGGTGCACGCTTCCTGGTGCTCTTCAACAATGTCCAGATGCGGGACAAGCCCTGGACAGTCGCTTCAAAGATCTTCAACGATCTGATGAGCAACTTCTATGTGCACCGCGTAGCGCTCATCTTCTCCAACTCGTCCTCAAACTACAATCTTCTGGTGAACGACTACTACAGCAATGTGGACTGCCGCGTGCTCAGCGTCCAGAGCGTGGGCCAGTGCCAAGAGGGTCAATTGTTTCCTTCGGCCCATGCTGTGCACGTCGCCATGTCGGACTACATAAGTGGCTTCAGCCCGCGGAACTGCACCTTCTACGTGTGCGCTGCCATCGCGGCGCCCTTCGTCGAGGAGGACTGCATCGTGGGCATCGAGATGCGAATTCTGGGCTTTATGCGCAATCGCTTGCAGTTCCTGGTGGGTATCGACTGCTCAGAATCCAGTGCCATTTAACTTCGTGCGCACTCTTGCTATAGATACCACTCGAGTTTCCAGTCGTTCGCTAAATAGAATTCCCTCCATATGGACACGCATTTTATTTCCAAGTGAATTCGACCAATTTTATAAAATTTTAAGGCAACATTTATAAGGAAAGCATTCTCGCAATTCCTTGCATGAAACTATTACATTCATAAGACTAAGCTCCATTTATTCTAAATTTACAGAATGAGCCATGGAATCCTCATGAATACCAGATATACAAGATGTTCCTACTTCTCAGCCAAATGATGTGCAGCTTGCATTTCTCTTGAACTCAAAGTTTCATAACATTTTTCAGTACTTTCCCCAAGTGAAAAGACTTTGTGAAGTAGACGTCTGACTGTATGAAAGGTGCATCTATAAACCTTTATTAAAATTACTGACTTAAAATTCAATAACGAGTATAAGCCCGTTAGATACGCCCCTTTTGACCGTCTCTGTTTAAGCATAAACTCAATTATTTAAGACTTTATTCAATCTGAAGACTTGAAGCTTGGAATGTACCCTTAAGTAGACCATCCCAAACAGAAAACGTTTTATATTCACTTCAGATGTCTAGGGGTTACCTACACATGCGTGTATGTAACTTAAGGAATAACGTATCTGTATCAAATTAAGGCATTTGCCACGCCCCAACTGGAAAGCATTAAGCTTTATATGGGGAGGGTACATGGCAGCTTATGCTCCACTTTAAATTCTGGATCTTCAACAGCTGCAATAGGACAGACAGGGCAGACAGACGGACGAACAGCCAGCCTAATATTCCCTTTCGAATTTGTGAACGAGTACAAGAACTTGAACATTCCATTGCAGGTAAATCAAACGTGCACTCGGGACACCCGAGGCGAGGTGGATGAGGTGGGCAAATGGAATGGTCTGCTAGGCAAATTGGAGGATGGTGAATGCGACTTTATCATGGGCGGCTTCTACCCGGACAACGAGGTGGTGGGCATATTCTGGGGCAGCGACAGCTACTTGCAGGACGCGCACACCTGGTTCATCAAGTTGGCGGACCGCCGACCTGCCTGGCAGGCCATGGTCGGTATCTTCAGGCCGTACACTTGGGTCTGCTTCCTGCTGATGCTGGTGCTGAGCTGGCTGTGCTGGTACGCGCTGGTGTCTCTCTTGCCAGAGCCGCCGTTCTTCCAGCCGCTCAGCTTGACCGGCATCAATGCTTTGGCTGTGTCCATTGGCACGGCCGTGCAGGAGCGGCCCGTGTGCGAGGCGACGCGCGTCTTCTTCATAATGCTGACACTATACGGAATCAATGTAGTGGCCATATACACCTCGAAGATGATATCCACGTTCCAGGACCCAGGCCATCTGCACCAGATGGACACTCTGCAGGAGGTGGTGGCAGCCGGCATACCCTTCGGCGGCGAGGAGGAGAGCCGCGACTGGTTCGAAAACGAGGACGACATTTGGATATTCAAGGAGTACAATTCCTCCACTGAGTTCAGGCCGCGCACCCAGAACCTGAGGTATGTGGAGCAGGGCAAGCGCTGCATACTGAGCAGCCGCATGTACATCATGCAGAATCTGTACGCGGACGACATCTATGCCTTTCCCCAGAACGTCTTCATCAGCCCCATGCAGCTGATCATGAAGGCGGGCTTCCCATTTCTGTACGAAATGAATATGATCATACGCTATATGCGCGACGTGGGCATCATACAGAAGATCGACTCGGACTTCCGCTTCAACAACACCTATTTGAATCGCATTTCGAAGATGCGTCCCGACTTCGCAGCGACTGTCATCGTCTTGACGACGGAACATCTGAAAGGTCCTTTTGGCATCCTGATCGTGGGCATCTGCAGCGCCACGCTGACATTCCTCGGCGAGCTGCTCTGTGGCTTTAGATGCCATAGACGTCGGAAGGGACGTGGCAAGCGACGCAGCAAGTGGCATAAGGAACGCCAGCAGTTGCAGAAGGCGGTGGCTCCGGTGGTGCGCTTTACGCCCGTTAAGCGACGCAAAGTCCTCTAAGTAGCTGTCCAGGCAGACACAACAACCCAACTAGCCAAGCCATAAAAATTGACTCAGTTCGTATAAATTTGCAATTGAGGGAAGGCAGCGAGAACTGCAACTGCAACTGCAACTGCAACGACGTCGACGACTTCGTAAATGTGGATGTGGCTCTTGGGGTCGCCGTTGTCTTCTTTGTGGTGCAGTTGCTGCTGTTGTTGTTGTTGTCTTCCTTGTCTGGTCTGCTCGCGTCTGGTAGTTGTAGGTTTCACGCGAAATACTTAAATTCAGCGACAAAATTCTATTTTTGCAACTATCAAAAGCGACGGCATGAAAAACAAGCAGACAGTCTGGCAGGCAGTCAGTTGGTCTGTTGGTCTCCGGTCTGGTCTCCTCCCTACTCCCTGCTTTCTGCTCCGTCCAACTCCCAACTCCCAGCTCCCGCTCCGCACAAATGGACTATCAGCTCTGAATGAATTTCTGCTAGAGCGAATAAACTGTGCGCTCAACTGTCGCTGATAATTTTGTTATAAGTAGCATATTTACCCACTCTTTGCCCAGCCAAAAGCAACTATCAAAATAAAGTTGGTAAGATACTGCGGGCAAAATAATGTAAACTAACATATAAAAACTAAAGACCAAAACTTTTCGCTTGCCAATTTACGACTTCACGATTTTTAATTCGATTAGAAATCGCGCAGAGCAACAAAGTAAGGAATGAAAGGATTTTACGCAGCATAAAAGTCGAAGCCTTCGAATGGCCTTAGATAAAACATTTTCTTTATATTGCAGCTTTCGATAGTCGCTACACATTCAATTCAATAAAACAAAAATATTTTTAAACTCTTCAAAATGCTTAACATACTGCAACTTGGCATAGAAACCAGCTACAGCTATAAATTCAGACATAATAAAATTCTAATATCGCTGGAACTCTGGGAATGTGAAGCCAAGGCTTGCAAGACGAGAACTGGGTTCAGGCCAAGATAAGAGCCGTGAAGCTAATCAACAATAGTTGCTGATTCAGATTTGCATTGCTGACAGCAACTGGCTTATTTTTATTTATTTGACTTATATATAGATGAAATGGAGAATGCTCAAAATAAAATGATTAAACTATGAGCATAAAAATTATTTTAATTACTCTAGGAATTTGCTGTCAGTTGCCACGATTCTACTGCGTGTAAATGATTCAAGCAATGCGCGGCGTCCGAACTTTGAAATAAACATTCGTATTTGCGTTCACAATCACATTCACATTCACATTCACATTCACAATCGCAATCGCACTCGCATTCACATTTACTCGATTACTCACAGAACACTCACAAAATGGGCACAGCGCGCACTTAGTGACTGTGTGTGCGTGTGTGTGTGTGTGTGTGTGTGTGTGTGAGTGTTTGTTGATTTGCTTTTTGGTGAAATTTTAGACTATTGAACTATGGCGTTTCGAGCAGCGTCTGATGGGCTGACTAAGCGACTAACTGTGTCTGTCTCGCCAGGCCGCGACGCCCAACTGTCTGTCTGTGACGCAGATGCAGATGCAGATGCTGATGCTGATGCTAATGCTGTTGCAGTTGCAGTTGCAGTTGCAGTTGCAGTAGCTGCTGTAACTGCACACACATTCGCGACAAGTCTTGGGCTAAAAATAAGAAACTATAAGTTTATTTCAGGCAAGGCGAAACAGTCGTCAAATGAAGGTCTACGCAGTTTGCTGGCTAAAAATGATGCAGCGAGTTTTTATGATCAAAACAATTTTTGTTGCTCTGGTTGATATTGTTGTTGCTGTTTTATTGTTGCTTCTTTGATATGCTTACAAATAAATAGTTTCACGCCATAAAGCAGCGCATAGGAGGGAAGCTTTGGCCATAAAAGTTGTTTACAACGCTTGAGCCTGCGGCGCACATAAAATGCAACAACAACAACAACAACAACAACAGCAGCAGCCGCCACACCGGCAACAGCAACAGCAACAGCAACAGCAACATCAACAGCTACAACAACACATTAACAACAATTTGTTGTTTTGCAGTTTGTTTTGATTTTCGGGCCACTGGAAATTGTGCGTTTGTGCTACAGGTGGTCAGTGGTCCGCAACCGCGTGGCCCAGTCCCAGTTCCCAGCTCGAGATTTCAAGTCAAATGTCCGTGTGTGTGCGTCTTATATATGCATGTGTGTGTATCGAATTAAGTCGTTAAATTAATATTTATGATTTGTTTGTACAGAGCAGTATTAACAAGCAACTGAAGTTGCAGCTTGATTGCGCCTGCGCAGGAGCCGGCAGCCAGACTGCATTTAGTTCCTCCCTTCGCGAGGCGAGAGAACAGGCGAAAGAGAGGCAGATCACTTTATTCTTGCCAAACTCTTAATGACTGCACGCGCCATAAATTTGTAGCACTCAATTCGCTCCTTTTCACACGCTCCGCGAGCGAGCAGCAAGAGAAACACGAGATGCGACACTGGACCCAACATCCAGAAGCCGTCGCTGACCGCAATCGGAGCACTTGCAGCTCTTGGAACTGTGGGAGCTAGTCGCGCGACAATAAAACCAAAAAAATCATCTCACATAGAACAGCGACAGCAGCAGCAGCGACAGCAGCAGCGACAGCAACAGCAACTGCGAGCGTAAACGTTAATTTCAATGTTTGACATTCTATGCCAGCAGTGATCAAAGTTATTCGGACGTTGCACGCAGGCAGCGGCAAGCGAGGCAAGCATCATTTGAACAGGCATAAAAAACTACAACAAAAATATAAAACCAACAGATTCGCACGTTCTTAAACGAAATAAAAGCCAAAAATGTTAACAAAAATTAGAGAGGCAACACTTAAGTTGAGGAAGCAAACCCAATGCGCACTTTGTATACCCTAGGCCCAGCTGTTCAAACTGAGTAAGCTGAGGTAACTAGGAAAGTGAATAAAAACTAATCTGTTCCTCGACTTCATTTCACCAAAAAGCAAGTACAAATACTAAGACACAAAATACTTAACAAGCAAACGCCTTTTTTCATGTTGATTTAAAAGAAATTTCGGAGTTATTCTATACTTAAAATTGGTTTCTATGACACTTAGAAAGAAATTAGAAAACATTTATGAAAAGTACAATTATATTTTAATTATACCATTTTTCTTTGCCATATATCAAATAGTTTTATTTCAAATCATCAATCCATCCTACATGCATTCAAAAAATTCTGAATATGTTATTACGCCCAACGACAAACAAGAATATATAAAATAAGAGCAAGTTATATTATTATCTTTTTAGCGCCCAAAAACGCAGTCAAATTATACATTTTTGATAGATAATAAGGAAATGGGATGATCCATCGAGAATTAAACGTTAAATACCACACTGTGTGTAATATTCAGGCATATACATTTATAATTTGAAGTCTCCAGCTTTGGTGATTGACGAGATCGCTGTATATACACAGACGGACAGGACTAGATTAAGAATATTATATTATTATCTCTATAGGGCCTGCGACACCTGCCTCCCCCTATTACATACATTTTCAAAAAAGCATTATACCCTGAATTCAGTTTCCATTGCCAATAGGATCAGGGCATAAAAAACGAGAAGACAAAATGCCTGCCAAGAGCGAGGGCTAAGCGAAAACGTGACAGCTTTCCTTGACCCAGGACCAGGCTCAGGCACAAACGCGCACAAAAAGGCAAACAATAAGTTCAGTAGGGAGTGCCTGACTATCAGATACCCTGAGCTCCAACGGATCCGACTGCATAACTCGACTCTATGCAGACCTATTTTTCATTCGAACACTTATCTCCTCTAATCAAATAGAAGTAGTATGACTAAGAAGAATATATAACATGTGCTCTCGAGCATAAGACCCCTCGACCCCATGCACCTCTCTTTTCGTGAGGTGGCAGATCCGCATCTAGTAGATACGAATAAGAACCAGCTGACAGCAACTCAATTGCAATTGCGATTCTAATAATAGAACTTGAAAAAATGCACGAGTTTGAATGGATGCACAGGGAAAATGCTACGCTAGGCGCTAATTGACACGTGGCTTTGCCCATTGACCAAGCATTTCCTATTAACCATCTTTGCTAGTTAACGGATAACAGATAAGAAAATGTTAAAGCCTTTTAGTTCTTTGGTACTGTGGGCTGCTTGGAGAGGTGTAAAAAATCAAGTTCTTTGTCTGATACATTTCAACGAAATCATCATACCCTAAAGTCGCATTTTCAATGTGCTCAGCGAGTAAAAAAAGCCCCCAAAAAAAGAAAGAAAACATGAAAAAGTTGCTCATACGACACGTGCAACGCGGCCGCAGCTGTGGGCCTAGAAGAAACACAAATACAAACACGCACGCACACTACTTGGACAAGCAAGCATAAGTAGAAGAAGCAGCACACACACAGGCACACACACACACACACACACGCACACACATTGCTAATATTTATGGCAACTGTAAAAATCTGGCGCTGGTTTTTGTTTGGCCAGCCACACGTCGTGGTTATAAATTATTTTTGTTGGTTTCTATTCTATATTTTTCTCTCGCTAAGTTCCCACACTCACACACAGCTCCCAGCTCTGGGTGTCCTGTTTGTCCTTTGCGCATTTCGTTATTGTTTGGTCATAATTTGATTTGTGTGACAGGCGGCGTCGCCAGCGCACTTAGGCGCATTACTTAAATTGTGGGAATACTTGGAGACTTGGCGAGGATGTTTCCTTCACAAGGATCAGAGCTGATGAACTTACCGCTTTTTCTGGCGCTGCTCGAGTGCAATGTGTATCGGCACATCCACATATAGATCCTCGACGTCGTCGATGACGCTCAGCATCTTCTCGTAGGCCAGTCGCTGCGGGCAGCTCGACGACGGCGAGACATACGAGTCCTGGCTGATGCGATTGCTGGCCAGCGGCATATGCGCAATCTCAGCCCTCAGCTGCACGACGTACTGCAGCTGCAGCACCAGCACCAGCAGCACTTCAGTAAGCGCCAGTCCTGGGTGCCGTCGCATTCTGTGTTTTCTTGCACTTATTCTTCGATAATTTAGCTCTTAAGCTGTATGGCCTGCTAAAGGTTCACAATCGCCTTAAATTAAGTTAAGAAGTTACTAATTAGTAGAGGCTTCGAGATTAGATATGCATGCATTAGTGTGCGTGTGTGTGTGCGTGTTTCTATTCGAATGGCTATGTAAACAATAAATATAAAAACTATATGCTTAGGACACAAAATAAATTCTGAAATTTTACTATACTTTTGAAGTTATTGCAGCATTTATTATAATTTTTAAAAATATATCTGCATTTTTTATTGCTTAGTTAGTGTTAATCCTAATTCTATAACAGTTTATTTAAATACAAAAATCTACAAAAAGAGATCTTTTTTTCTTTTCTTTTTTCTTTTTTCTATTTAACAAAAACGATTTTGTTAAATCTGTGTACATGGCAGACAGCTTTACAAAATTCATAACATGCAAAGCAAGAACCCCCTTAGTAAATTGAATGCTTTTATCTTTTGAGGAATTCAATGTCCGCTTTAATAATGCTTACAAAACCATTATAATTTGAATCCGCTTTTTGAATGGGTCCAGGGTAGACAAAATAACAATCACACTATCCTCAAACTTGATGCTAATTTATTAAAAACTTTTAGCTTTACATCAGTCAAAAATGTAATTTCTTTGATTTCATGACAAATTAAGAATTACGTGATATAATAACTCAAAGGATATGAGAGAATAATTATTCGAGCCCCAGATTAAAGAAATTATTTTGTTACCCTGAGTACTTTAAGCAAGATTTGAAATTCCTTTTAAGAGCCTATTCCAAATAGGTTAAACGAATTTTTGGGACAAGGAATTAAAAGAATTTTAATTAAAACTTGGTACATAAAAATCTATTCTGCGATTTATTAGTTTTAATTCCAATCAGTTTTTAGAGTTTATCTTGATAAAGAAAACAGTGCCTTAAGCTAGACAAAAATAACAGTTAATGAAACTTTGAAAGGAAACTCCAAACATTCACAACTTTTTTATGTAATGTGGAACGAAATTTAGTCTTATCCCATAAAATAAAAGAGAATATAGTCTTTTTAATGTGCGTCGATTTACCTTTGGCAATAATAACAATCGTTATCTACTGAGTTCCTATTTAAATAAAACAAATTATATATTTTCGGACTAAAATTTAATTGAAGAGCACAATTGTTGTGAGCTCTTTTTGGAGGCATTTTTCTATTTCCCCTTCAGATTAATTTTATATATTTAGCCTTAAAACTATATCCTAAATTAAAAGGCTATAAATCATTTGCTTTGGCTTTGCTTAGCATTCAGAGCAATGTTTTTTATACAGCTGCCTTAACTCTGCCTTAACTTCTGCTTATCCATTTCGACATCTTTCTGACCCCTCATCAGCAGAGCTTGACAAACCCAATCCCAGTTCCCGCTGCTTCTTCTTCTTCTTCTTGCTACAATTAAGGCCTGTCAAACCTTTGACACACGTTGCTGCTGCCAGTGCCATTGCCATTGCCTTTGCTTGTGACAACTTCTTTAGCTAACTGAAGGAGTTGGAAAAAAATGAAATCATTTTTGGCAGCGCAGCGCGGCAGCTTTTTAAGTGTTAGGCTTTGCCTTTCTCTTTGCTTTTGGTTTATCGAAGGGGGCAGCCAATTAATTTTTTGGACGCACTGAATCGATTCTTGGAACTGTTAGATTTGCTAATTGCGGGCCACACGCCCCCCACACAACATCTTCTTCTTCTGGCTGTTTTTGCGGGCAATCAAAAGTTCTGCGAATTCGCGTGCGGCGCAGCGAATGGGAACGCAATTAACAAGGGGGCTGGTACCCCAAACAGGGGCTGCCACCTGTTGTCGCCGTGCTGAGCAATTAACGATACATGCCTCTCATAAGCACAGAAACACACACAAAAACACTCACACTCACACACACATATGTATATATGCACACACACACAATCACTCACTTTGCTACAATTTGGTGTTGGCAATTTTTTGAGCGCGCATCGTTTGTCTCGCACAGTGTTTTGTTTGTTCCGTTATCTAGCGGTATTTGTATTTGCACACGGTATTGCAAAGCTTTGCTTCTGCTTTTGCTATACACACACACGCAAGGACACACTCGGACACACATACACGCACTTGAAAGCACAGGCACGCGCGTAGTTCGGAAGCTGAAGCTGCTGCTTCCGTCTGCCTTGACGAGCAAACACAAAATGAGAGTCGTGCGCAAAGCAAACGAAAATCCGAGCGCAACTGACGCTAACTGCGCCGTCAGCAGCGGCAGCATGCGCTGCGACCGCGGGCAGCATTGCCGAAGATGCCGCCCCAAACGCACGAAGACATTAACCGAAGTGGCCAGCTGCGCTGCCAGCAGGCGCACACATGCATGCACACCACGTCTCCATGTATTAGTGTGCTTGTCTGTTTATATATAGCTTCTTATGTTTTTTCTTTGCCTTAATTAATGTGCCTGCTTCGGGGCTGCCCCATTGATGAGGCTGCCAACTTCGACTCATGCCTTGCCCTTTTCCCCACTGCCCGCCTGCGCCTTTCTCCCTTCTCCCTCACCAATCGTTCCCTGCTGCTGCTGCTCTTGCTGTGTTTGTTTTTGTCGCGCCAACGTTTTCGATTTTTGAATTTCGTTTTTATTGAAGGCAGCAACAACAAGTGAAACATAAAATGCGTTTGTTTTATGCATGGCACGTGACTTTCAATCAAGAAAAAAACAAATAAAACAAAGACCGAGCGCCACTCAGCCGCAACAGCTTCAGCTCTGAGTTAAATGTAATCCGAGAGCTAGCCAAGAAACCACACGGAAGACAAGCATTTGATTCAGTCGCAGGCTCAGATACCAAGTGCAGGCGCTCAGCCGCTGCCTTGTCCACGCCTGCTTCTAGACACGGCCTCTGGATTCTCGATCTCAATGCACTTGCAGATCGTGTCCACGTCTCAGTTTCGCTTTCAGTCTATTCCATCCCCTCTCCCACTCGCCACTCGCCACTCTCCACTCGCCACTCTCCTCTCTTCACTTCAGAAACCAAAACATTGTGAAATTCACACAGGGCTCGCGGCTCGTGCATTTTGCTGATGGCGACGATTTAGCTACATGTGTTTTTATGCATTTCAGTTGCAGCTCGTTCCTTTGTTTTTATTTCTTTTTTACATATAAACATTGGGGACAATTACAATATGACAACTTCATTCAGTTCAAGCCCCCAAGCACACATATAGTATTTTACATGAATATGCATAAATATTTGCATATAGAAAATCAAATACTTTCAACAACTTTTCAGGCACTTTGTTCTCAGCATTACTTGGAAATAATATGTATTTTTCTAATTTCATGCGACGTTCACGCCCTCGACCTAATTGACTTCAAATTAATGTCTCATATCAGTTTTAACATAATAACAAGTAAGAATGCGCTAGTCGGGACTGTCGGACTTTGAGATACCCTGAACCCGATCAAGAGCTGATATTCAACCATTCTACGCTTATTTAATGCACACACACATACATATATACGCACACACACATAAGCTCGCGCTCTGCTTACTGCGCAATTTTGGCAGCGGCTGCGCTTGGGCTGCAGTGTGATCTACACATATTCTACGCAATCTTAATTGTTTAATACCTTTTGTTTAAATAAAAATGTTTCAATTTTCAAGTCTCTCTCTTTGCTTTAATTCGGATGGACAGACAGATCTGGAGTTGATAAATATATCCAAAATAAGAGAAACACCTCGAATCTTATCAAATAAAAACTAAATCTTGTCGAGTGAATAAATACAAAGAGAATATTAATTTTTAATCAAAAACTAAAAATAATAGATGTTCACATATATCGCATATAAAGAGAGGACTTACAGGAATATTACATATTTTATTAAATATAATTAACAGTAGAAATTCTTAGGGAGTTAGCAAGAGGTGACAATCAATGAGCCAAATATATCAGTTGAAAGAGTATTTGAGTACTTAAGTGACATTTATTGCGGATATTCTTGGCTCGTATGCTTCCTTGTGTTATCTTATAGCATATTTTATTACGCTATGTATTTAATATTGCATTCATAAAGTGCTCACAGAATGCTGACGTTGACTTAGAATCAGTTCTGTCTTTCTGTCTTTCTGTCTGTCTGTCTACCTGTCTGTCGGTCTGTCGGTCTGTCTGAGTAGCCAAGTAGCCAAGTAGCCAAGCAGCCAAGCTGGCTGTGCAATTTATTGTTCCCTGTTGGCTCGGTGGGGTGTTCCCGGAATTCTGACAATGCCAAAAAGCTGTTGCGTATGCGCTGCGGCGGGCAGGAAATGAACTTTTTTGGGGCCTGGCTGCAGCTCGTAGCTGCAAATTAACAGCAAATTAGTTAGAAAAGCAGTGAAAAATGTAAGTGACTTAATCAGCGGCACAGCCAGCCAGACACGAAATGGGCAAACAGCATCCCCAAAAACAACAGCATTGGAGCTCAGAGACATCAGTGAAGAGAGAAGAGGGGGCAGGGAGAGGGGGCAACCTTGAAGGCGCCCCTAAAGCGCATAACTCAAGGGCCACGCAGAAGGCAAACCGAGCCCAGCTCGATCCCTGTTCCGGTTAGTACCGGCAAGCCATGGAGGAGAGCCCTTCCAAGCCAGACTCATGCATAATGCAAGGCGCTGCTCGGCCTGTCAGCCCCGACTTTGGCTCTGGTGGTGGCCCAAGCTGCGTTGCGTTGCATTTTTCAACAATTTAATTATTGACAAAAAGGTGGAACGAGTGCTTGACTGACAGACTGAATGAGTCTATAACTGCGTGTGTGTGAGCCGATTTAAGCCATGAGAATATGGTTAAGACTGATGACTATTCTGTGGGCCGGCACTGAATGCGTGTGGGATTAACTAAGCGGCTGTGCTAGAAGTACGTGCAGTGCCTAAGCAAACTATCAGGAATCAATGAGTATTCCTTACCAATTATATTCGAACATATCAAAGCTCTCATGAGATTGCTGTGGCTAATCTAAGAAAGTCATGGGAAACACGATCTACTAGATCAAATGGAGACAGGAGGACTCCAACAGCTGCGCCTTCGAACTGGCTTATTCAAGCCTCAGTTTCTTGGACCTTAAGTTTCAGCTCACTTTTGGCTTTACTATGTTCGATGTTCGAATGATTTGAGGTCATTTTGCATATATGCGATTCATGGCTTATTTATCAAAATTTTATTCTCAGTTTTCGCTTTATCTGCATTCAAGATCAGGCTAAGTCAACAAATCCGTCAAAATGAAACTCTAAGCTCTACTTGATTTCTTCAGTTTACTTTATGCCCAGCCTCGAGCTTCCTCACTTTTAGGCATTCCCAACGCATGGGATTGACTCCTGTTTGCTTCCTTCCTTCAGCAACTGCTATTGCTCTGTTTGCAAATTTATTTAATTAAGTATTTTCCCTCCCTCCTCAGTTATTAAGTGTTACATATGAAACTCAAAATGTTCCTACATATTTCAATTGCTTCACCTCCTGTTACACCCAGCTTCAACTCCAATTTCATTCGTCAACTCTAACTGGAACTCCGTCTTAATTTTCTGCTGCTGTTTTTGGCTGCCTTCGTTCTGCTACTCCAACGACTGCCGCTCCACTTTTTGGCTGCATCCAACTTATTGGTACAACATTTTTGCCTCACACTCGCACTTCATCAACGCGAAATGATTGGCATGCCAACGTCAATGACTGCAGCGGCAGCAGGAGCAGGAGTAGAGGGAGTAGCACAGGCAGCAGCAGCGGGAGCACAGACTGCCGACTGGTGGCTGCAGCGGCGACAGCCTCCGACATGTGTAAAAGAATCGTTTAAAATAAATGACAGCCGCGCCCCCCATGCGCTGCTCCCCTGCCCTCGCTGACTCACTCTCCCTCTCTTTTTCGCGCGCTAGCCGTCTCGCTTTATGCTTCAGCTTGCCTGCATAATTACCCACAGAGCTGAAGCACACGGCAGATCACAATAATCAATACGGCGATGTAGGATGCCACAACAGCCTGGCCGAGTTTTTATATTTTTTGATTTTGCTCTTTCTATGCCTTCCTCTCTTTATACCCTGTAGTCCAAGACTTTGAAGCCATCAGAAGATTTTTGAGCAAGAACTCTAAGTATAATAGGCTGAACAGAGTAGAAAACAGAAACAGTCAAATTTTTAAGAATATTTTTTAATGTCATTTCAAAGTCAGATTCAAAATTTGCAGAGATAAAATCAAATTTTTCAAACCTTATAAATGTCTAAATTCAATTTACAAAATAATCAATTTATCTTCAAAATTACAGAAAATATTTCAAAATGAAATGGAACTTTAACATATAGAAACAATATGAAACAGAATCCACTCAGCTATTTCAGTAGCTTCAATTAGAATGGTCCGATAATATCCACATAAAAATGAAAGCTAGATGAATAAACAAATTGTATACTCAATATTAATTAAACATATCAATTTACATAATTTGCAAATGATTTTCATCATTAGCCAGCTCATAGTCTTCTGTGATTTGATTGTCAATTTTAAGCCAGCTGCAAGATTTCTCATTGATTGGAGGATATCTTGAAGTCAACCAATATTAGTTAGGTCACTTTTTCTTGCTTTGTTTTTGCCTCTCGGTGAGTGTGTGTGGTCCAGTGCTTCACATGTTTTCGGTTACTTCGTTTGAGCTGGTAGCTGGATCCAGGCTAGCCCAGCACCCAGCGCCCAGCGCCCAGTTGCCAGTTCCAGTGGCCACGTCCACATCCCTCAGCTGGCAGGCGTGCCTAGATTATTTGTTTACACGCATCCATTGAGCGATGCAAATCCATCATTCATCATCATGCGAATGCACTAAGCATAGACCCAAGCGAAGGCGACGGAGGGGACAGCGCAGCTTTTAGCACATTACAACACCACCTTGGCCGAAATAGCGCCTCAGGCCCCACAAAAGTGTTGCACACACGCCAAGGCTGGCTCGCAACACCTGGCAGAGACAACTGTTGCTGCCTGCCCGGCTGCCCCTAACCGCCTGTCGTACTGGCTGACTGACAGCTGGGCGTGGCACAGGCAATGAGCAAAGTCGAAGTTAGGCGGAAAACTTTTGCTTCGTCCTGCCGAGCAACTTTATC